TAATTATAAAAATTAACATTTTACATTATTTCATTAGTTTGGATTCCTACAAGGGCTAATGGGCACGAACATTTGTATTATTCTCTACATGTATTACATAATTGTTTTTCATAAGAGTTTTTGCCAATTTATAATGGTACCTTCAACATATATCAGGATATCATCATAACCTTACTTATTACTGTTCACATAAAAACTTTTTTGTTGCTGTTAATTTAATGGACAAAAAATGGTACCTTGTTCTTTTATATTTTTTCGGTTCTAGTGAGGCAAAACAGTTTCCATATATTTATGTGCCAGGGTCAAAGAATATTGACACTCTTTCTCTGAATTCTGCATTCTAAGATACTTTTTGCATTTTCCTGCTCCTTTCTAGGGCTGTGTTTTATTGACCAAGGTAATCGGCAAAGCTAGAGATCTGAAGAAACTCCATTTACCTGGGAAATGGCATGGAGACTTTTGTGAACTAAGAAGATTCAGAAAGTGAGAGGAGTGGCAGGGAACAGCCAGCTTGGGCTGAGCATTTAAGGGAGAGTCTGGGTGGAAGAGAGAGAAAGATAGGTTCTGGGAAAGCAATTACTCTGATGAATGGAACTTTGGGAAACAGAAATGGGTAAAGTGGATTTTAGGACATTTTTGTGAGTGTAACATAGTGTAGTCCTTCTTTAAGTCTCCTCTCTGAGAGATTCCAGTAAAGGGCTCCTCTTTATCTTTACATCTTTTCTGGAATTGCACTTATTTATCATGCATGCAACACTATGCTTATGCTAGTCTTGAGGCAGCACAGTTAAATTTGGGTTATGTGTATTAATTGTTGCAGTCCTTGGGTAGCGTAAACGGTTAATGCACTCGGCTGCTAACTGAAATGTTGGAGGTTGAAGTCCACTCAGAGGCACCTCAGAAGAATGGCCTGGTGATCTACTTCTGAAAAATCAGCAGTTGAAAACCCTGTGTAACACAGTTCCATGAATCGAGTCAGGGCAACTGGTTTGGTGTCGTTCGGTTTGGTATTGTTAGTGGCCCATTCTGGCATTAAGGTGGAGTTTAAGATCACCCTCCCTCTACTCTGAGAAAGATGTTTATATGAGTCAGGACTGTGACATAATTGGGCCATTGAAAGGGAGGATGTGGTGGATCTGAGAATTCCAAGAAATTCTTCATTCTGTGATACTATACTAGCACCCAGAGGTTCCTTTTCCTGTTCACTCTTTACCCTCAACCCTCTCTGTGTGCCTTATTCTAAGCCTGACCCACCCCTCCAGGTCTATCTACTTTCCCTAGCTTCCTTTTTAGGAAAGTCTAGGGCTGGTATCTTGGGCAATCTATCCCAAGCCTTAGGGAAAAATACTCTTTTTTCCTTTTTTTCCATAGTCTCATCTTTCTTGGCATCTTCTCACTACAAAGTGGTAAGATTTAAAGTATTAACGTTAAGTAGGGTAAAGAGACTAGGAACAAAAGTGTAAGGCGACCTGCTTTTAGTCTAGGTCTTCACCTAGAGATGCAAAAGAAATTTATATATTGTCATGGATTTAATTGTGTCCCCCAAAAAATGTGTGTAGCAGCTTGGCTAGGTCATGATTCCGAGTATTGTATGATTGTGTCATCTCATGTGATTTCCTTAGGTGTTGTAAACTCTATCACTGTGATGAGGTTATAAGTGATCTCCTTATGTGTTGTAAATTCTATCACTGTGATGAGGTTATGCTGATGTGGTTTACAAGATTAGATAGTGTCTTAATCCAATCTCTTTTGAGATATAAAAGAGAGAAGTGAACAGAGACAATGGGAACCTCATACCACCAAGAAAGCAGTGCTGGGAGCAGAGTGTGTCCTTTGGACCTGAGGTTCCTGCGCAGAGAAGCTCCCAGACCAAGGGAAGACTGATGACATGGACCTTCCTCAAGAGCTGACGGAGAAAGCGTTCCCCTATAGCTGATGCCCTGAATTTGGACTTGTAGCCTACTGGACTGTGAGAGAATAAACTTTTCTTTGTTAAAGCCATCCACTTGTGGTATTTCTGTTAGAGCAGCACTAGATGAGTAAGACACGTGGTCCAGCCCAATTCATGAGGAGTCTTCACTAAGATCTGTGTTTCAAACACCTGCTGGTTAAAACAGTTATTTGACCCATTCTTGTTCTTTGTATATGTCTCTTTCATGAATCTGAAGAAATGTTCATTGTCTCCTTCCCTCCCTCCCTCTGTTTTTGAATAGTGTTACTTAGTAAGTGCTCAATATATGTTATCGTTTACAACTATTACTAGCACTACAACCACTACTACTGCTACTTGTATGGTATGATAATACTATTAACCTTCATTATCTTTTCCACATATTTCTAGTCTGTCTACTGCTTTCTTAAAGTACATAAATGGTTGATCTTTTATGATTTTTTCTATCATATCTCAGTTCAAAAAGTTGGCCTCCTTCTGGTTGTTTGATAAATGTTCTTTTTTTTTTTTTTTAACTCTAGCTTTTCTATGGTTTGACCTTTAAAATTTTTAAATCTTTATTACATCTAGTATTGATTGTAAGATAATAGATTCTAAATTTTTTTCCCAGTGCTAACTATATTATTTGATCATTTCCCCAGGGATTTATGATGTCTCAGTTATTATATTTTATCTGTAAGATATGTATATTATTTATAATAACCTTTATTAATATCTCTTTTCTAGTTATATGTCTATAGTTGTGCTGCTGGCACGAATTGATTTATGTATTGTGGCATTATATCTTGTTTTAATATCTAGTAGGGTTGGTTCCCCAATTATCTGAATTTTCTATGACTCACAGCCAGATCTTCAGAATCCTCTAAAGGCGTTCAGTCAGTCAGTCAGTCAATGAGCTTTTTGCTAAAGAAGTGAATCTAATTCGGTACTAAGGGGATGCCACGTTTATAATTTAGAAATACTATTTGTGAGTTGGATTAGTTAACACATTTAAAGGATTAACTGTAAATATGGATCTTGAACAATCTTGGTATATAACCATGTATTAAAAATAAGAGTCATAAAACTGGTGGTGGTGGGGGGCTAGCACTAACTTGTATTAAGAAAGGTTGTTATTAATTTTGCTCACCTGCCCCGTGAAGGGCACAAGCTCACTCTAGCATTTTCTGTCTTACAGCACCCTCTGGCCGCCAGCAGATGGCTACTCTTCTACAGAGCTCATGACACATGATCTCAAAGTCTGCTGTATATAGCAGTACCAGTGTAAAATCCAGTAGCCTATAACAGTAAGGGACCTTGGCCAGCTGCTCTTTGCAGATTGGAAGACACTGCCTGGCTCCTGCTGGAAGCATTTCTTTCTTTCTTTTTTAAATAATATTTTATTGAGTTTTTGGTGAAAGTTTATATAGCAAGTTAGGTTCCCATTTGACAATTTCACACAAATTGTTGAGTGACATTCGTTACACTTATCATAATGTGTCAACATTCTCTTTAATTGTGTTCTGTTTGTTTCATTTCCAGTACTATAGTTTCCCTGCCCCCTTCTCTTCTCTTCTTTGCTTTTGAGTAATTGTTGACCTTTTGGTCTCATACGGATGGTTTTTAAGCAGAGCACTGATCTTACGGGTCGTCACCTTTATGTTGTGTGTCACTCTGCTGGTCTGCTGAAAGGTGATCTTAGGGGATAGGCTCGGTTCCAAAGAGTGTCTCAGGCTGAGAGTCTCAGAGAATTCTCTGTTCTCTACCGTTCCAGTTTGTCTGGCTATGTACACATCTGTACCTACCCATATAGCAATATGCCTAAACCCAGCCATATATGCTCAAACACTCAGTTTTACTTTGGTAGTGCTGTGCTCACTACCTCCATGTTTGGTGTCACTTTCCTGTCACCAAAAATAACTAATCTCTATGATCTAAAGTGTATCTTGCTCTCCTCCCTTCTCTCCCTGGTAAACCACCAACAAACATTGGCTTGTCTCTAGGTATCTATTCTTGTCTTCTTATAAAAGAGGGATCATACAATATTTGTCCTTATATGCTTGACTTATTTCACTTAGCACTATGCCTCCCAGGTTCATCCATTTTATGTTTTGCAGACTCATCATTGTTCTTTATGGTTGCGTAGTACTCCATTGTATATATGTACCACAATTTACTTATCCATTCATCCATTGATGGGCACTTCAGTTATTTCCATGTATTTGCTATTGTGAATAAAGAAGCAACGAACATAGGTGTGCATGTGTCTGTTCGTATCATTATTTTTAGGTTTCTAGGGTACATAGCTAGGAGTGGGATCGCTGGATCATAGGGTAGTTCTATTTCTAGTTTTTTGAGAAAGTACCGTACGGTTTTCCATAGTGGTTGTACCGTTTTACAGTCCCACTAGGAATGGTTAATGTTTCTGATCTCCACATATCCTTGCCAA